TAATATAATATAATATAATATAATATAATATAATATAATATAATATACAAATATATATATTTACATAAATATATTTCCCATGTCCTGGTAGAAATGTGTTGCAAAGGAATCAGAGGGAAAAGACAGCCCTGACACATGAATTACTCCCTGCAAGTGTTGGAATGGACCTATTATTCCTTCTGAAAACATTTCATTTGTTGATTTGTCCACCCCAAAGCAAATTTTGAACATGCCAACTGACTCTCACTCTGAATTTGGAGCTTCATTTGGAAATAACACTTGGAAATGAATGTCTGGACAGACCCAGAGTGATGATAGCCAAAAGACAGAGCCTGCTTTGAAATGGATGCCTTGCAGATGGGACCCTTTCCAGGCGACTTCTCCTCTACTGTAGTTTACTTCATTCTTATGTGGCCCAAGACCTCATCCTACCATTAATCACACACATACAAAAGTGAATTTGGTTTCAGTGACAGAATGTTCTTAGCATATTTCATATTCATTATCAGGTCTGTCTCTGCCATTGTTTTATTTAGGAGATTTTATTTTGGTAACTTGTGTTGAGTTTCAAGATTATTTTTAGGGCAAAGAGTTTTCTTAGAAGTGAAGTCTTGGCAGGCTTTTTGAAGAGAAGGCTTTCTGGATAATGGGTTGCATTGGAGCAAAAGAAAGAACTATGTAACATGCTTTTAATAAAGACATCTATGTCTATTCATTAATGAACAGCATAATCAGTATAACTCTAAAGACTGGACACTTTATATTTAGCAATGGTATAATTTTACTGAGCAGTGTCAAAATGGAATAAAGGAAGGGATCAGTGGTTTAAGTGCACTTGCCTTGCTGCTATTCCAGAGGGCCAGGGTTTGATTCCTCACACTCTTATTGGGAGATTTACAGCTGCCTCTCACTCTAGATCCAGGGGATCCAATGCCTTTTTTTGACCTATATAAGCTTCCATAAATAGATCATACACACACACACACACACACACACACACAGATAAAATTTTTAAAAAATCATTTTTTTTCTTTGACCTTTTGAGACAGGGTCACTCTGTGTAGCCCTGGTTGTCCTAGAACTGTCTTAGGAGCTGTCCTATGTCAACCAGTCTGTCATCCTATGTGTCCTATGTCACAGAAATCCACTTACTTCAGCCTCCCTCCTAAGTACTGGGATGAAAGATACACACTATTACACCTGACTTAAATCTTATATATATATACTCTCTATACATTCTATACATATACAATAAATTATTTGGGAAAGGTAGGTTCACTGTGTTTAATTTCCATTGCCTTTCTAACAAACGCTGTGACTTTGAGGCTCCATAATCCCTCTGTTACATGGAGATCTTTTTAAATGGAAGGGTTTCAGTCTCCAAGAGATCCTATGGGGACTCTCTATTGTGAGGCCTGCATGCTCCCTGGGAATGGAAAAACACACTATATCTGGGCTTAAAGAACTGGACATTTTAGTGGGGAAGGAAAAAAAGGAAATAATAAATACAGAGATTCAAAGCACAGAGAATCTTGTCTTCTTAAAAAAAAAAAGTTTAACCATTAGTCCAATCCAGATGGGGTAATGTCTACTGTGAGGTGAGTGCCAGATCCCATAGTGTATACTTACTCTGGCTGCAGGGTCTTGACTCAGTGAGATGTGGTTAAGTGGGCAATGAATTAAGTGGGAAGTGAGATTAGAGACCTGGATAATATCTAAGAACGTGGGGTAAGACCAAAGAAATAAAAGTAAATTGTATAGGGGCTTCTTGTATTGATTATTTGTGTCTAAAGGAAGAACCTTGAATAATCTTTTAGTTTCCGTCTGTCTTTGGTATCTGATTGGATGGACATCCCAGGACCTAGGAAAAAAAGTTCCAAGAACAAAGGGCAAACCTGCTTTGTGGTCTTCTTGGTGAGCTAGAAAGATGTGCCACCTGCTGACTTTAATTTGTCAGAGACAGAGTCATCAATATGCTCCTCTATCTCACTCATCTCATTGACTACAGGTCTCATTTAAGCCCTAGTAACAGAAAACGTTCAAGTACAT